GTACCAGGACTGACAGTTACTAATAAAAAAATGAAGGAATACAGGTCCTAAGGAAAAGCTAAAGAAAAATTCTTAATAAAAAGGACAATATCTGAAAAGAAACAAATAGTACAAGTTAACAACGTCCTGACTAACATTTACAAATACAGCTAACAATAAACATTTTAAATAACGCCATTATTGTAGATTGTGACAAAATATACGTAACTGAGGACAGCGTATTACACGTAATACAAAATTGCAATGAAAACTATATGGTTCTAAAATTGTCTAACTATAAGAGAACTCACGTGGCAGTGTTTAATTTGTACCATGTACACTGTGTTAGTGTTACAAAACAGAACCAGTGAGAGACGTGAGGGCTAACAAAGATCTTGCAATTATGTTATGCCATCCATGTATGGTGTTTATGTAAGAAGCACAGATAAATTTGTCATCAGAATGGCATTCTTCCTGAGATGTTTAGCTTTTAAATAATACCAAACATGATAGGATTCAAGTGCTGAAGAAAAGCTACTTTTGTGCCAGGTTTAAACAAAAACAAAGACCCCCACCCCCTTCAAATCTCAGTTATGTTAAAATTGTACATTTTTACAATTTCAAATTTTACCAGCTAATTATAAGTATAGTAAGCCCTAACTGAAAATCCAAGTTTTGAAGAATCTATATTTTTTGTCAATTTTTTATCATTTGTGACCTATGTTAAATACCTTGATGGCCTTTAATTTTTTTGTGTGTCTCTTCAAAGAGGGCCTTCATTTGATCAAAACTCTCACTATATACCTGAATGGAGAGGAAAATATACAATAAATACAACTGCATTGTCTAAAATAAAAGCTCATCACTTTGAAATAGCCCAAAAATAGAACAATAAAACCATAAGTTTGAAAAAGTATCAAAACTATTATTATTAACCTTTACTGCACTTGCAACTTTTCCTGCGCCATCTTTCTTTCGCTTTCAGAATTGAGGGCAAATTCAGAAAGAAAGTCAAAATGTGCAGTTTTGTCATGTTCGTGGACTTTTAACTCTTCTTTATGTCCCTGCAGCAAGTTAATAAAATCAAAATGTCCTTGACAAAATGTTGGATAGATTTTTCCGTTCAGAGAGAGAAAAACTGGCGACTGAGCGGCAGCAGCTCCCTTTTATAGCTGCACTGTGCCTCGGTTAACATGGCGGACGGCGCGTTGATTGGCTGGCTGTAGAAAAACGCGACCAATGAAAATTGTTTACTTGGTTGCTGCCTTCTCTCTATCCAAAACCTGAGCCGATACTGATAGACTGATAGACTGATAGACTGATGGTGTTGGCGGCATTGTATTTGTATTTGTTATTTTTCCCTTCCATCTTTCATTTTTGTTTCTCTTTTAATTAAGACTAAGAATGAACTCGTTTCTGTTTATATTATAATTATATCGCGTGCACTAACCTCTTTTTAATGGACCTAATACATGATACATAATGAAATCAATGAAGCTGGTTTTCTAATGATCATAGTTCATGACTTGTAGCCATAATTATCACTGAAACCGTGTGGTGTCGTGTGGTGTACTTGTACTACACACCACCGTACTCTCGTACTACGGGTATGAAGTATGATGTTGGGTATGGTCGTGGAGTTCAGTTATTTTGCTTCCGATGGGCAGTTTTGTTGTCTTAATTGCGTGAGTTCGCTTGATTGCGTCATATGACATAATGACGTCAGCTAATTCTTTTGAAACATTTATTTTTCGCATTCCCAAGCTATTGCTATTATTACTATTACCCTCAATATTATTACCGTATCGTTATTTATCGATCTCTGCACCATTTCTCTCCCCCCTCAAACCTCTCCAACCCCGGTGGCTGCTTGATGAACACCCACCAGCATTCTCTGGCGATAATGATTATTTCGTTCAAAATATTATTATTATTATTATTAAATATTATACAATTCTTTCTGTCAGATTTGTTGCTTAGGCTTTCTTAAAACAATTTAAAATAGCGTGCGTGTGGCAGTTAGCGGTAGTCAGTGGAAACAACCGACTCAGCTAATTGAGGATGAGATGGGGTGGTCCTAAAAAGGACCGTTGGATGGGAGTGGGTAATTGACAACGAGGTGTTATATTTAGGCACGCTCGCCTCTGATGCGCCTGGCCAGCTGGATGTCCTTGGGCATGATGGTGACACGCTTGGCGTGGATGGCGCACAAGTTGGTGTCCTCAAAGAGACCGACGAGGTAGGCCTCGCTAGCCTCCTGGAGGGCCATGACGGCGGAGCTCTGGAAACGCAGGTCGGTCTTGAAGTCCTGGGCGATCTCACGGACCAAACGCTGGAAGGGCAGCTTACGGATGAGTAGCTCGGTGCTCTTCTGGTAACGACGGATCTCTCTCAGGGCGACGGTTCCAGGCCTGTAACGATGGGGCTTCTTGACTCCACCGGTGGCTGGGGCGGACTTTCTTGCAGCCTTGGTGGCCAACTGCTTACGTGGGGCTTTGCCTCCAGTGGATTTACGAGCGGT